ATAATAATAATAATAATAATAATAATAATAATAATAATAATAATAATAATAATAATAATAATAATAATAATAATAATAATAATAATAATAATAATAATAATAATAATAATAATAATAATAATAATAATAATAATAATAATAATAATAATAATAATAATAATAATAATAATAATAATAATAATAATAGTAATAATAATAATAACAATAATAATAATAATAATAAAGTTGGTATTGGTACAACAGGGAGATCGTGACAGAAGTGAAATAGGAACAAGGAATAAAGTATGAAAAGTGGATGAGATTATTATCCTATTTAGTTGTTCGACAATGACAACCCATTACGATCGTTCGTGTCATTCCTTCGTTTCAACCGCTCATTCTATTTAATTTTAAATTTTAAATACTTCATGTCGATTTTTGAATGATTCTTTTACTTGAATTGAAAGGTTTAAGAAACGATTTGATTAAGCTGAATTAACTAAAAACAGGTTTCTCCTTCCTTTTTTTACGATATTTTTTGCAAAAAAAAGGAGTAGATATCGTTTGCTTAGGAAAAAATTTACATTTCTAGAAAATAATATTGAAATATTTTAGTTCTATAAGCAATCTTTCCAGATTACATCATTTGTTATCACTTCTGATCAACAATTTTGATTAAGGAAAAATGAAAATATTCTATTTGATGGACTTTTTAAAAATTATCAAAAAAGATTGTCAAACTTCTAAGGTTGTCAACCTGGTCATTTATTATCACATCTTGTTCAAACCTTATCTTAAATGAAATATCCATTTATTCATATTCATTGGCATTTTTAGATTTTTAAAGAAATCATTTTTTTTTCTAGTCGAGAATTGACTATTCTGGAAGTAATCCTTGATATTATCAAATCCCAAAATGTTATCAGAAGGCAAATGTCTTATAACTCCTACTTTGAATATGTTTTATAGGATTGCGTTATATGGAATTCGATAACCAAAGAAATGATAGAAGTGATATCACAAAGATGATAAAAGTAATATCATTAAGAATGATATCACACACTTTATTATCACTTACAGTAATTGCAGCAAGATTAAAATCACTGTTGCTTCTTTTAGATGCTGTTACAGTTTGTGCTTATATCTTCATTTTATTCAAATTTGCACAATTTTTAAAATTACAGTTAACAATCATAAATGATATTTTAGTGTTGTAATATGTCCAAGTATCTGTATTTCCTGTCATATGTCCTCTTTATTATTATCATTATCATCTACTATTGTCATTATTAACCATATCATAATTATTATCAATTTGTCGTAAATGTATGGTTAGTAATCATCACCTTTGTTTGACGAATGTCCTTGGATGTTGATATATATGGGGGAAAATGGAATAGTGGAATAGTAAGTATTATATGTAAGGTAGGTATGTCCGTGTTAACGGAGGCAACCTTTGATTAACTAATTAGTGGAAAGGAAAAATAGGAGAAGTGGTGGTAGAGCAATCAAGATTAATTATTCTTCTCCCGAGGACAAACATTCGAACTCCTCCCCTCCAGCATCGCATTTTATTTTTTTTTTTTGATCCTTTCTCACTCTTTTCTGCAAAGTCATCGATAATTTGCACAATTCATTTTACCCTCGTTTAATCTTTCTTTTTTTTTTAAAAAAAATTGATCGTGAAATTTTGCTAGCACAAATTTATCATTAAAGAAAAAAAACATAACCTTTGACCCTTGACTTTCGAGAATTAAAAGAATCTTTTTTTCTTACCATCAAAATGTTGATTATATCCAAACATATGCTGTGATCATTGTCACATTATTACGAAGCCAAAACAAGAAGTCATATGATTCTTCTTTATCTACTACATTGTTGATATCTGTTTAAAAAAAAAAATGAATACATCCACTGCACACCTTTTTTATCTCGTTAAATATTGATTCCTTCTGGTTTATTTCTCATTTCTTTAAATGTTGCTTGCTTGCATTATCAGGAATGATAATTGAGTAATTGATATCATTATCATATGATTATCATTTTGTATATGTTTAGGTGGATTACTTTTTAATTGATATCATCCTTATCAACAAATGGCCTAAATTTTACATTCCTTTTCCTAATCTTTAAATTGGAAAACTCCATTTGTCATCAATGGATGAAATTGTATGTTTGCAAACAGAGAATTTTTCCTATCCCTAAACTCTCTCCCACGAAAAACAAAAAAAAAAAAAAAAAATTAAATTTTTTCTTAAAAGTTTCTTAGAAAAATTGAATGATTAAAACTGGTTTGAAGTTGAAACAGAGCGGGCGCTCTGCGTCATACTACTCCTAAGGCAAATGATTCCACTTCAATTCCCATTTTCGTTACAAACTGGACTATTCGCGATCTTTACAGATTTTCTTAGCAACATATGAGACTAATCAATAATGCTATTCTTCAGTACTATCTGACATATTTATTTTAAATCTGTTGCTATAACGATTCTGAGCATATTTTTCTAAATGTTTCATTCACAAAACATCGAAACAATTTTGAAATTGATTTGCTGACTCATTTTTGAAGCAGCTGACGAATCATCACGTGAACTCTAGACTAGTATGATTCTTTTCGTGGAAGAATTTCAATTCTTTTAATGATCTGTGATATCTTTGCTTTTTGCAATGTTGATTACATCCGAATTGGTAGTAGTTATTATGCTATTTATTGATAATATCCATTAGTAACAATCAATAATATTGCGAATTTTGTGATAGAGAGCAGATTCAAATTCATGGATTATATAAAGGACACATTATATTGGAAGAATATAATGGTACAGTTTTAAAAATGCTTCTTCCTGCTTATTCAGCATTGACATTTTTATTCGAATGAGAAGAATGGGAGCAACAATTTCTTTATTCCACAGATCATTTTTCTATTTTTATTTCATTCCTAACAGAATAGCTTCCATCTATGCAACACATTACTTTCATTTTCTTTTTTTCCTTTTTTCTTTTTTTTTAAATTGCTATTTTTAATGTTTTGAAATGAGAAATTTCACCGATCATTTATTCCAATATTTATAACATTTCTTTTGAATTATAATTTTTGCTCCAGTATAGACCTATTAATGAACATTAAAAAAAAGAAATCTTTAGAATAATATTTACATAAAAGATCGTTCAAAAAATATTTGTATAGTATTAATGAAAGATTATCAAGATAATATTTGTTGTCAGATATTAATTGGTATCATTGTGTCTTCTATTGATAACAATCGTTTGATTATATTTGAATCTATTGATAACACTGTATCACTTTAAATTATACTTTTTTAGCTTATATAAAAAAAGTGTTTTAGTTAATATCTTTATCAGATATCGTCATCTTTCTTTAACGTCTCACATAGCTCTAATTCATTATTTACTTTTTAATTTCATAATACAACTAATATTCAGGAATAGAACAAATCAGTGTTTCCGGAAAGATAGTGGATCTAGGCGGAACGAAATGTTTAATGTCTGGCTGTTGAGCCTGATTACCGCAGCCCTGCGTAGCGTGATAGTCGCTGGTATGTTGAAACCAGTTTGGCATCATTCTACCAATAATGGGCCTGAACAAACATAGTAAGTTTTCTGCAGTTCAGATGGCTAATCAAGTAATCATTAGCACCTAATCAATTAATTAATACAAGAAAAGGTACACAATGCTGTAGGCGATTAATTGCCTTATTAAGCATTAAAAAAGGTTTTATTCCGATGTTAGGACTAATCATTCCATCTCTATTAGTTATTCTTGCTGTGATGAAATGAATTACTGAAATTTGAAATGAAATTTTAGTCCTGGGACATACTTGGTGATTGCACCTAAAGTGGTTAGGCCAAGTCTGCCATATGCTGTTTCGGTAAATGTACTCAAAAGTTCGGAAACCGATCATATCGTAAGGGTTGAAATACGAACTGCTCAAAATGATACAGTGGGAGCTCGTGTTGTGAATAATGTTAAAACAGGTGATTATCATCACTTTCCTCATTATTATCACTGATCTTGTCAAAAATCTAAAATGTTTTTCGTTTTCTCTACTCATTAATCGTTTCAAGCTAAAAATTTTAGTAATTAGTAACTGCTTCTTATTCTATGATTTATAATACATTATTTGATCAAGGAATACTAAGAGAAGATGAAAAGGTTAAAAAATGAAGACTATTTAGGCTCGAACTAGGTCATCTGATCCCAAAATGAGACCTAAAAGAAGAGAATTTCCTTTGGTCACCTTTCATTTGTTGACTCTTATGATTACATGGCAGTTATTGTTTTAAGAATTATTTCATAATATAAGTTTTTATCAATTTGACCAAACAAATGAGAAGTAGATGTATTCTAGGGTTTTAAATTAGGAATTTACAAATTTAACAAACGAATTCTTTGAGAATCACTTTTAGCGTTTTGCTGTATCATTTCAGGACTATACTGTTTCCAAAAATAAGCTCAACTGTACTGACTTTTCCTATAGATTATTAAACAGATCCATCATTTATCTGATCAAATTATCGATTGGTTTATTTCGAATTCAGACAATTCCAGGAATACCACAAACAATAACAATTGATGGATTGTCACCTGAAACTCTTCTACCTGGCTCGTATTACAAAGTGTATGTGAGAGGCGAGACATTGGGTTCAAAGGTTTTGTTCGAAAATGAGGAAGATGTTCGTTTTGACGAAAAGTCTCTTTCAGTGTTCATACAAACCGATAAAGAAATCTACAAGCCTGGATCTACTGGTTTGCTCTCTTAAATTTTCTCAATTTAAAAAGATTATTTAAATAGAACATTTCTTGCTTAATTAATTAACTCGTGATTTTTGAACTCTAAAAAGGATTTTTAAATTGTCATAATTTCACATCATATGCTTAAGAATTACAGTGCGATATCGTGTAGTAGTGGTGACACCTGATTTAAAGCCTTATTCGGAAACTCTTTCTGTGATGATCAAAGATCCGAATTATAATATTATTAGCCAGAAAAGTGATCAACCACTGATAAAAGGTATTGTTGAAAATCCATAATTTTGCTGGAATTCTTTATTGAAATATATATAAATTTCTTATGAGAATAATGAACTGAAAGATTCAGAAGAACGATTTACAGGTGTATACTCAAATGAACTGGAACTATCGGTGGAACCACCACTTGGTGATTGGCAAATAACGGTAAAAACAAAAAGTGGTATCAAATTTGAAAAAGAATTCACAGTCGACAAATACGTATTACCAAAATTCGAAGTAAACGTGAAAACGCCAAGTTTTATAACCATCAACGATGATCTAAGCGTTCATATTGAAGCCAAGTAATTCCTTTATCATTATTATTCATTTCAATATGAATTATGAATTAAGTTATTAGTATTGGTTTTTGATAATATCTGGTACTAATCAATACGACTATTTCATGCATTTTTGTAACACACTAGAACTCTGTTACAGTAATTCCCAGGAATCTATTCTTGTGTTTCACGTTTTTACATCAAATCATCAGCTATTTTAGGTATACATATGGAAAAGGAGTATCTGGTAAAGCAAAAGTAACTTTAGAATTACCTTGGCATCATTTCACAGTTCCATTAGTTGTCTCGGACGATGGAACGGTTAAAAAGGTTTGGACGTAATTTTATTTATTAATTCATGGAAGGCATCATATTAGTTAATGTTTGTTTCTAGACGGAACAAGAGAACATTATTGAAAGAACAGTGAATTTAAATAATATGGGAGAAGCAACAATTGTCTTCACAAATGAGGAACTGAAGAAGCATAAACTGGTGAATGGATACGGTGGTAGTTCAGTGAAGATTACTGCAACGGTTACCGAAGATTTAACAGATATTAAAAGGAATGCTACCGCACAGGTTATCTTACAAAATAGGCCTGTCATTACGATTTATAACTCTAATAAAGTGCTTTTTTTTTCATTTAAAAATATGAAAATATTGATGAATACGTTGAGCATTTAAGATTGTTGCATATCGACATGATGTCAAACTGGATATGGAAAAGCAGGGTGAAACATTTAAACCTGGCCTCGGATACAGTATTGTCATTACATTAAAGCAAATGGATGATACACCGATTAAGGCTACCGTACCTAAACGTGTACAGGTAGCATAATCATAACGCCAAATTTATGACTCAATTAGATTTCTAATTTATTGCCGTTTTAAGAAGCTATTAATTAATGATCAGAATGTATTTTAAGCAAAATTACATCTTGAGAATAATGATGAAGTAAGGGAAGGCATTTCATCATTTGTCATTTTTGATTTTTATGAATTTTAATAAACAAACAGTTCAGGTAACAACATTCTACAGCTATCTCTATGTATCCGATTCGATAAAACAGCACGAAGACAAGGAAGTGAAAATTGTGGATTTAGATGCTCACGGAACTGCTGTGATTACTTTGCAACCACCTCATAATTGCACCGATGCGCGAGTTGAAGTTACTTTTTACCCTATTCAAATCATAATTAATGTTTCCTTCTCCGCCATTCCAGATTTCCTCGAAAGTGGACAAGAGACGAAACAAATTTTCAGGTTCATTACCTGAAAAACGATGTTCTGTTAGCAATTACAGTTCCCAGTATTATGAATAGTTTAATTGAGGAATATGAGGATTACTTTTCTCTTTCCTCTTCCTAACTTTTGAGCTGTTTGAAAAGCCAAATTCATGTTCATGTCTCCATTTTTCTTGACAATCCGTGTCACCAGTTCAATCCACTCTCGACAGTTCGTACCATTAGTTCAATCCATTCTCGACAATTCGTCTCATTAGTTCAATTCACTCTCGACAATCTGCAGTATTAGTGTAGTTCGTCATTTCCTTCATTACTTTTGAAAAGATAAATTTGCAAATTAATGGATGACTAATTCATCGCTTAGTTATAATACCACTATATATGTATATAAATTAAATTAAAAAAAATTGTCTTTCTCCCTCCCTCTCTCTCCCTTCTCTCTCTCTCTCTCTCTCTCTNTNTATATATATA